GCGCTGGCTTCTGCTGCCGCTGCTGCTGCCCGCTCTGCTGCTGCCCGCTCCGGGAGAGGGTGAGCGAGGGCCGGGCGGGTGGGCACTGGGCCGGGCCGGGGGAGCTGGAACCTAGCCCCGCGGGAGGGACCAGGCTCGGTCCGCCGGGCTCGGGCACTCGGAGAAGGACCTGCGTCCCTGACGTAGGCGTGAGGGGCTGGGGAGGCCGGCGTTGGGGGTCACTGCACGGCCGAGTCCCCGAGGGGTGCGAGCTGGGGCGCAGGGAGACCCCCGACGAGCCCGAGGTGAGAGATCGTGACCTGGGTCCGAGCCGGGACACAGCTGTGCGCCGGGCGCATCCGGGATTTGGAGCCGAGATGGGACCCGAGGGCGCTCGAGGAAACAGGGGAGAGGAAGACGAGGACGAGGAGAGTACCTGGGTGCCCACCTCCTCGCCCTCGGTGGCAGTAACAGCCCCATCTCACGGAAGAGGGGTGCCGATCGAGTCCCTTCTCCGCACACCCCAAGTTCTCAGCGGACACATTGGCCTCCTCCCTCTCCTCTGCCTTCCTGAGAAGCGGAACACCGGGCCCGCCTCAAAGAGAAACTTTCCCGGTGATGTCCGGACGGGGTTGGAAGGAGAGTGGGAGGCAGCCGAAAGGCGGGGTGGGGGTCGGAGCTTTGCAGAAATGGGGTCCTCAGATGTCTGAAAACGTTGTGCTCCCTGGGGTGGGGGCGACGGCAGGCATCGCGCATCCCTCCCCTCCCCTCCCGCAGGCGGGGGCCAATTCCAGGCTCGCGGGCTCCCTGGAAATGCGAGGCGGGGTCTGTGGCTGTCCTTTCAGACTAGGGGTGGGGGTCATTCCTCCTGGAGCAAAGTTGTGGTGGGATAGCAAGTCGTATGCTGCGGGTGACTTGCCTCCCGCCTGGGGTCTGAGTGCTGGTTCCTTCTGCCGCCTTGGGTCTCCTGATCCCAGATTGGGCTGGCCTGGCCTCTCCTTCCCTCTTTTGCTCTTCCAGCCCATTTATGTTCTGCAGAGCATGGAGCTTGGCTGTGAGCCGCGTGCTAGGACCCCCGTGCCGCTGGGGCTTGGGAAGTCTCAGATTTGGCTACTGTTCAGCTCTCCCTTAAAAAAAGGCCGCAGGACCAAGACTCAGACCTGGGGGAAACAGGAAGGATGGCAACAGGCCACAGCCTGGCCTGGGCCCTGGCTCTGAGCCAGCTGCTTCTGCCTCCCGCCAGACACTGGGCCAAGCCTTAGTTAAGTCAGCAAAAGCACACACGGTGTATATTGCTATTTCATTCTGTATCTTAGAACTTTTAACTTTCCATAGTGTCTTGGGAGTTTGTTAATGGGGTGACACAGCCATTTGGGACCAGGTGCACTGTTACCCTCAATGTAAATAGATGAGAAGGAGGGAGTAAGGACACACCAAATGCTTTACCTGAGATCATCCCCTGAAAGTGCTTGTCCAGGATGACCCCAGAAGTGGCAGCCCCTGTGCTGAAATCAGTCTTGCTGTTGAGCCCAGATTCTTGACTACTAACTGTGAGACCCTGGAAGAGTCACTTAAGGTTTCTGGGCTTCTGACTCCATATCTGTAGAAGGCAGCATGGTAGAAATAATACTCGTCTGTGTTGGGTGCACACTGCCCAGGATGACACTTGTACTGCATTTCCTACAAACATGACAGAAACGTGGGAGTCAGAGGCGTGACTGTGCATTACACACTGACCTCTCCTCCTCCCTGCCACAGGTCTTGGTCACTCTGCAGAACTGGCATTTGTCCTGGAGCCTAGCGATGATGTTGCTGTCCCCGGGCAGCCTGTGGTGCTGGGCTGCAAAGTGGAGGGGACCCCGCCTGTGCGAATCACCTGGAGGAAGAATGGAGCGGAGCTGCCTGAGGGCGCCCGCGCCACCCTGCTGGCCAATGGGTCCTTGCTAATCCCTCACTTCTGTGCTGGGCAGGCAGGTGGCCTGTCGGATGAGGGCGACTATGAGTGTGTGGCCCAGAACCGCTTTGGGCTGGTGGTCAGCCGCAAGGCACGTGTCCAGGCTGCAAGTAAGTGGACATCCCTTCTTGTCCCTGCTTCCTTTGGGAGAGGCCACAGTGCTAATGGGTGGGTCTGGGTGTGGGAGCAGGGCGGGTTCAGGCAACCTTGTGCAGAACTGAGGTCCCAGCGTGAGTCAGCTGAGAGGAATCCAGCAGTGAGTATGGGTGGTAGAATGAGATCCTGGGCTCCCAAAAGGACTTGTCCAGGGTGACCCCAGAAGTGGCAGGAATGGAACTTGTGAAGAATGTAGCCCAGAACTGGGGTGAGCTGATCTTGGCTTCCACGTGCCTGTCACAATTCCAGCACCTAAGCATCGCAGTCCCCTCTGTGTGGTTCTTGCATTGAAAGGTAAACCACTGACTTTATGGATGGGGGAAGGTTTTTTTTTGTTTGTTTGTTTGGTGGTGCTGGGGATGGGACTCAGGGAATCTAAACATGCTTTTACGGTCATCTTGGTTTCATGCAATTTTTAATTACAGTGACTTTCAGAGCTGGTGGGTAAGGCTTCCCTATACCAGCAATGGAGTTCTGAAACTTGTCAACAAATATACTTTAAAAATATATAGTAGGAGGGGGGCCAGGGAGATGACTCAGTAGGATAAGCGCTTGACTGGCAAACGCAAGGATCTGAGTTCAATCCCCGGTTCTGGAAAAAAAAAAATTAATTAAAAAAAATATCTATATCTATATCTATATCTATATCTATATCTATCTATCTATCTATCTATCTATCTATCTATATATATATCTATATATATATATATATAGTAGGAGAGCCAGCAAGATAGCTCAGCCGACTAAAGCGCCTGCTTAGACAAGCACAGGGACCCTGGTTCAATCCCTGGCACCACAGACCCCGCCAGCCCCGCCCCCAGGGCAGGCTGAGCCAGCCAGAGCCCAGGTCATAGTAGCTCACACCTGTAATCCCAGCGCTGGGGAGGCTGAAAGCCTTGTGGAGGAGCTGCTGCCCTCTGCCATGTGCCAGTCTGCCTTGGAGCCAGCTGCGTACGGACTGAAACCTCCAGTAACTGTGAGCTAAATAAACCTTTCCTTCCTTCAAAAACAAAAACAAAATATGAGTCTGAGCTGCGTAGTAAAACCCTATAACAACCAAATACATTAAATATATATATGTATCTGGGTGGGTGGGACACACCTATAAGCCCAGTGCTCTGATTGGAAGGCTGAGGCAGGAACCTTAGCTCAAAGTGAAAAACAAAACAACCAAAATCCCGAGCAAGGTGGTGCATGCCTGTGATCTCACTACTCAGGAGGCTGAGGCAGGATGATCACTGAGTTCAAGGCCAGTCAGAACTGCATAGGGAGAACCTGTCTAAAAAAAAGAAGCTTCGGGCCGGGGAGATGGCTCAGTGGAATAAACGCTTCCCTAGCAAGTGCAAGGATCTGAGTTCAATCCCCAGTTCTTTTTTTTTTTTTTTTTTTAATTTTATTTATTTATTTATTTTGTGTGGCCAGCTCAGCCCACCAGGGGGCGGGGCTGGCTGGCATGTGGTGCTGGGGGATTGAACCGTGGTCCCTGTGCTTTGTTTAGCTTAGCTTGTTCTAAGTAGGTGCTTTAGACCACTGAGCCATCTCACCAGCCCCTCAATCCCCAGTTCTAAAAAAAAAAAAAAAAAAAAAAAAGCTTCTAGTTCAGTGTAAGGGTCCTAAATTAAATCCTTGCAAAAATAAATAAATAATACAAATGATTTAAAATAAAAAATGATCCAGGGTGTTACGTCAATGATGTGTATTCCTCTCATGCTGATGTGCTTTTTGGACTGGGAGCAAAAAGGCCAGGCGATGTGCATCAGATCTAAAATTGTACTTCGCAGGCTCTCACGGACCACTTGCTGTGATAAGAATAGTAGGTGCGTTTTGACTGTGTCCCGGAAGTTCTGTTATCCTGTTGAATCTGTGCACACCAGTAGCACTCTGCCTATACTCAGATTCTCAGTGCACCCTGGGGAGGTGGCGAACTGAAAGCGACAGGTCGTGGTGGAGAAGCAGGGCCCTTGAATAGGTAACAAGCCTCGCGAACGGGTATTAAGTACTCACTGCATGCTGGGAGCCTCAAGTGCTGAATGGGAATTATATGACTGTGTCTTCACAAGGACTCTAGGGGATGGGCCCTTCTCCTCCCCATTTTATAGATGAGAAAACTGAGCTTGAGGGGGTGCAGGTCCTCGTCTGACAGGAGGCAATACCAGGACTGCAGTGGAGGCAGCCTGAGCCCTGTGGCCCCTTCGCTAACTCCCGCGGCACGCTGCCTCCTTCTCAGCCTGGCGCTGACAAGTTTCTTCCTGGCTCTGAGGGCATTCGCACAGTTGCTCTGAACGGCTGGTGAGTGATGAATTGTTCAAGGCAAGAGCCCTCTCGCGAGATGTAAGATGCCCCTTTGTTCTAAGGCAGGCTGGTCCAGGCCCCCATCTGGAGCTCACTGGGAGGCAGCCCTGGACTTGGAGACCAAATCGCTGCTGGCTGGGCCGGCCTTGTTCCCGGCCCTGCCAGCAGTGCAGAGGGAAGGCTGGTGTGCCTTTGAGCAGATGTCTGGGTGTGCAGAAGCGACATGGGGACCCAGGGCAAGGACCAGGGGTGGGGGGCACAGAACACTTATTTATGTACTTATTTACTTCTGCAATGCTGGGGGTTGAGCCCAGAGTCACGCACATGCCATGCACATGCCAAGTGCTCTACCACTGTGCCACATCCTCATCCTGCCAGTGCACTTTTCCACGTGGTGCTTCCTTCAAGTCGTTAGGGTCCCTGCGCCTCTCACTGTGTAAGGAATCAAGCTGGGAGTGGGGCTGGCCTGGCTAATCCTTTGAGGCCCCAGAGACACTGCCTTCGTAACCTGGCCTCCTCTGTCCCCCAGCTAGGCTGAGGCCCCAAGGGGCACAGCGTGGATGCCAAGAACCGAGTAGCTGGATCTCTTTTCTCGCTTCACAGGCTGATGTCCTGGAAGGCTCCAAAGCTCCTTAGCCCTGCCTGGGTCTCCTCCTTGAGTAATCACTACCTGCCCATTTGCCCGCTGGTACTATAGATGTTGTGTGACATGGGTGGATGGCTTTTGGCAAGGGTGTGCAGATCCTCTGGAGACACGGCTTCTCCCACCTGCTCCACAGGGGTTGACAGCCAGGGTGTCAGCACCAACTCAATATACGATCCTATTCTCCTGAGAGATCAGGGATCAGCGCAGGGGGCCTCCTGGGTACTCAGGTAGATGTATGTGGGCGCACTCTCCTTCCCAGTGGGCTCAGAGTGGCCCCTGCAAGGTGGGGGGATGTTGTAGGTCAGGGGCAGAGCACCTTTGGGCTAACTGTGCCAAAACTTTTAAACAGAACTTTCTTGGACAAAGCCTTTGAGTGTGATCTTGGTGGCTGTGGAGGCTAATCTCCAGCAAAGCAAGCTGCCCCTTCCGCTCCCAAGCCACTTTCCCCATTGCCTGCTGGGATGCATAGGGAGGGGACTCCAGGGCAACCTCTCAGCGAGTAGAATGGGTGGAGCCGGTTGTGGAGCCCGTACTGTCCCTCTGGAGGGATGGCTGAGTGGGGATGCATGCAGGGATTGCCACTGGCTGATGTCCCTGTGCCTAGAAGACTCCAAAGAAGTGTGGCCCAGTCTTAGGGAGTGGGGACGGCTGGGGACCCCACCCCAGGTCTCTTTCCACCTTAGTCCCTGCTACTCCGTTCCTGGTCTCAGGCCTCTGGACCAGCTGGGGTCAAGAGATCTGGGACCCAGGACTGGCTTTCCCAGCCTGTGTCACCTGGGGGTCTTGATTGGATTTCAGATGCACAGATTGAGGCTCAGACCTGGATGTGTGTTTAAGAGCCCATCCACGGTGTGCCCACACCCTGGGTGGCCATGGGCTACAGCAGTGCCCACTCCCGCGTTCCAGTCTGGCTGGCAGCATAGTGGAGTGCACAGAACGAAGCCCTTGGGGCTTCAGTGGGGCGGGTTCAAACACCAGCACTGCGGCTCTAGGATGTCTGGACCCTCGTCAGCAGGGCCTGTGGGAGGATCCAGTGAAGTGCTGGGTGGAAAGAACCTGGCCTGGGCTTGGTCTGGGGGAAGAGCTTTGTGTGTCTTATCCTCATGCTCGGAACCGCCCCCTAATTTAGGATGAGGTCCAGCTTGTCACCATGCTGGCTGGATTCCCAGCTAGCCGGCCTGGGCAGGCCCAACAGTGGATCTGAGCCTGGGCCGAGGCAGCCAGAGACCTGGGCTTGGTGAACTAGGGCCTTGACCCCACTCACTAGTTATAGAACTCGGGGAGATTCCTTCTCTGAGCCTCAGCTTCCATTCATGTACATATTTACTTATTGAGGAGTGAAACAAGGGGAGCACTAAGCTATCTCCCCATCTTTCTTTCTTGACTGTTTTGTTTTTGTTTTTTCTTTCTAGACTTTCTGACAAAAAAGAATTTTTACTATGTAGTTTGGGTTTTACTATGCAGTTCAGGCTGGACTTGAACTCACTTGGTAGATGAGGCTGGCCTCAAACTCACATCATTCCTTCTGCCTCAGCCTCCCAAGTGCTGGGATTACAGGTGTGCACCACCATGCCCGCCTGCCTTATCTTTATTTTATGGTACCAGGAATCGAACTCAGGACCTTGTGCTTGCCAGGCAGGTGCTGTGTCACTGAGCTATACACGCAGCCCCTCACCTTTACTTTTGAGAAAGGATCTCGCTAAGTTGCCACACTGGCCTTGAAGTAGTGATCCTCCTTAGGCACCTGAGTAGCTAGAATTATACATATGTATCACGAGCTATATTTCTTCATCTTTACTTATTTTGTTGCCTTTTAAGACTGGACCTCACTTTGTAGTTAAGGCTGGCCTGACACTCACTGTGTAGACCAGGCTGGCCTCGAACTCATGGCTATCTTCCTGCCTCAGCCATCAGGGGCTGAGAAGACATAATAACTATTATTATTCTGAGGAGGGAGCTGCTTTGTGGTGTGAGTCCCAGAAAGGCCCCTGGTGGCCCAACTCTGGGAATAGGCAC